GGCAGTTAAATAATAATAAGTTGTACGTAATATTGTGGACCAATTTCTTCAGTGAATTACTTAGTAATTGTTTATCAAACAAGCGGTTGAGTAATTCAATGATAACTGATTCGTGGTTTGAATGGCTGGACGTCACCATTGAGTTGACAACTATTATAATTTGCGTTTCAATAATAGTATCAATGGTTTATTTGTTTGGGTTTGCATTCAAATTAGGGTCTATTATCGTATTGATGACACAATTAGTACGTGTGTTGTCCAACACCTGTACTCACATCTCCGACACCACAGTTCTCCGCCCATTCCTAACACTGGTTTTCAGCTTAATTGGCGTAATTGTGGCCCGAATTACAGAATCGGCATTAAGTCCAGTGGTTTCGACGTTAATATCAGCAGACAATCGAGTGGTTGCGTGGAGACGAAGACGTTCCTCCAATGCCATGCTATCTGTGCCCAGACGTACATCTCTGCCAACTCTGGGCGATACCCGAACCCAGGGATTCCATGGAAACCATGTGAGTATATTCACTATCAATACACCACTATATTCTTCCTCTATTACTATTTCAACACAATATATATACGTATATTCTCTTCATTTTTCTCATCACATTTCCCTTTACAATACAATGAAACTAAATCTTCGCTCTTCTTTATGTCAAAAAATACAATACCTTTTTATTTGCTTTTTTTATTCCCATTACATATCACACAATACTTTACATCATAGCTCAGTATTTTTAACTCATTTTAGATTTCAATCAAATTCAACAAATATTGAGATTCTTTCGTAAATATTCTGTAATCGAGTTCAAAATTTGTCATACATTAAACATTTGAGCGAAGATTCCCTATAAATTCATCTCATATTTATATGTCAAATGGATTCCCATTTTAACAATCCATTACATATTATTGACAGCAAATTTAAGAATCAAATATCATATTTCATTTAGTTTCACATAACTTTGCATTATACAGTATTTAGTATATAAAAAATATAAATTACTTAATTGAAATTCATAATTACAAAAATTTAAATTTTAAACAAATTATACAAATTTTAAAGGCTATATGAATTATATTACGTAATATTTGTTTTATGGTTTAATTTGTTTAAATATTATACATAGTGTGTGTAATTAGGTAACAGTAAACCAAACGAAACATTGATTAACAAATTATCTAATTTTCTATCTATTGATTCACTTCCGCTTCAAATACTTTTCTTAATTTTATTTCTAAGAATATTAAGTTGAATTCATGGCATTAATGCCTAACTTGCGATATAGCCTACTATAGTGTGTAGGAATTTGACGCAATTTCTAACATTTAATTTCATGTTTAGCTCGAAAATCAATTTATCAAAAGATGCACAAAATGTACTTTTCATAAGTGTTTGCTATAAAGTTATAAATTTTAACATTTTATAGATATCCACTCACACTAATAGCAAGACTGAATGAAATATATTGTGTCGGAATTTAGTTATTATATTAAATTTTAAAGATACTGTATATAAAATGATACATTATTGCAGCACTTCTTGTGTTTTAGATATGATAACATTTTTGATAATATTTCAATTATATGTGAATATTATTTAAATTACAATGTTTTGTAAAACCATTACTTTAATAAAATACAATATGATTTTATTTGATCTCATAATAGTACAGTACGTTAACATACAATTTCAAGTTTACAATATTTTACATTTTACGTTTATGGTATTTTAAAAATGTCTACAATGTAGACTACATATATTTTAAACGTGTTATTTATAATAGATATGAAATCTTATTTTAATAAAATATATTTTATTACTTTGTTTACAAAAATCACTTTTTCATCAGATGTCGAGTGCTTTATATAACAATGTAGACTACATATATTTTAAACGTGTTATTTATAATAGATATGAAATCTTATTTTAATAAAATATATTTTATTACTTTGTTTACAAAAATCACTTTTTCATCAGATGTCGAGTGCTTTATATACCGATAAATAGGATATATTTGAAATTCTTGAGTGTTTAAGAATATTAGATTCTTTGGTATACAAATGGAGCTAAACTTTTGAATAAATCAAAATAACTGATCGCTTCGTAGTTTATAACCAAAATGGTCTCGTTTTATGAACTGTTAATAAATACAAATAAATACTCTTATGGTTGATATGACCATTTGAAAAATTTAGTTAAACGTTTAAAATTTTGTTAATAAAAGAGTTTTATTTTCTAATCAAATATAATTTGTGAAATTAATTAAAATTTTAAAGTTATAATGATGTTATGAATAGATTGTAACATATGAGATAGCATAAAATATGAAATACAAATTTGCGTTTAAACAACTATTTTAAGGCTCATTATTTGTAATAAAAAGATAATTGTAACTTATGAGCATTTGATTTATGATTTTTAAATAATTATATGTAATTATCTTCAAATGTGTCAAATGAAAAATATTTATAATTATTAATTTATTAATAAAGTGAACATTTTATATGACATTATATCTGATAGTCGAGTGCTTTATATACCGATAAATAGGATATATTTGAAATTCTTGAGTGTTTAAGAATATTAGATTCTTTGGTATACAAATGGAGCTAAACTTTTGAATAAATCAAAATAACTGATCGCTTCGTATTTTATAACCAAAATGGTCTCGTTTTATGAACTGTTAATAAATACAAATAAATACTCTTATGGTTGATATGACCATTTTGAAATTTAGTTAAACGTTTAAAATTTTGTCAATAAAAGAGTTTTAATTTTCTAATCAAATATTATTTGTGAAATTAATTAAAATTTTAAAGTTATAATGATGTTATGAATAGATTGTAACATCTGAGATAGCATAAAATATGAAATACAAATTTGCGTTTAAACAACTATTTTAAGGCTCATTATTTGTAATAAAAAGATAATTGTAACTTATTTTATGAGCATTTGATTTATGATTTTTAAATAATTATATGTAATTATCTTCAAATGTGTCAAATGAAAAATATTTATAATTATTAATTTATTAATAAAGTGAACATTTTATATGACATTATATCTGATAAACATAAGTAACTTATATAGAGAAAGGATGGTTTGAACTATAATGCCTTCAATGCTTATTGATTTGATTAGTGATGGTTAGCTAACTGTCCTGTTATATCACTAGTTGTTCAACAAATACACAATCAACTAGTTTTGAAATAAAAGCCATTTTGCATTCAGACTTAATTGAGTTTATCTGCACTTAATTGGTATTACAATAAATCACTTTAAGAGATATATCTGCTCTAATTTCAGAGCAAATAGTAGTAAACAGTACTGTATATACAGAATTGAATAGAACTTCTGGTTTACTCAAACAATTGTTGCAATTATTAAATTTACAATTCATATCTAAAAATAATTGAATTAACTATTGCATCTAATATTTTTTAAATATTTTTGTGAATATACTGTAAATGTATTTTTACCCAAGCCTCCCGGGTATAACCAGCGCCACGGGTAATGTACCCAGGCCTCCCATATATAACCGACGCCTCGGTGTCTGTTTACTATAGCTAGGGCGTCCAATCTTCGAGAATTCCCGAATAACATTAGTTAATTCTAACATCCGGAATTATATACCATTAAGTTTAAGGGTCATAACAGGCTCAAAATATATCATTTATATTTTTCTGATTTTGTCGTATTTTGAGAAAATTCCCGATTTCGGAATATTCTGGTGGAATATTCCGAAGAGCCTCTTTTTATTAAGAAATAATGCCACAAATGCACTTCAAAATCAACATTTTAATGAATTTGCTAAATTAATACCCAAACCTGCTACAACCAATTGAATATGCCAATTCGATCGCCTATTACAACAATGAATTTAATTAAGTTTTTTGTTTTAAAACTAAAAATTGTAAGCACGGGTTTTTAATTATTGAATATACATTAAATATCAATTACAGTATATATCGCCTCCCCAACAGGTTTAACGTTAACTTGTTCTGGTTAAATTAGATTATGTTTGGTTAGGTTAGGTTAGATAAGGCACAAAGTGGGGGTTAGGAGGCCGGGGGCGCGACCGGGTTCTGTAATCTAGTTATTTAAATTTCATTTTAGACTTATATAGACTTTGATGTGACAGGAAATATATTTTTATTGCATAAAAGTCAAAAAATGAAATATAATTTTTAATAACAATTGTGAATAAGTGAATTGAGGGGTATATAATTCTGGTAACCCCTTCTCCAAACCAATTACCTGTTTTTATGCCTAAATAAACTTTATTTAACATTTCTATTGAATAGATGATTAATATATACTTATAATGTAATATACAAATAATGTTCAGTACATTATTTGTATGCAATTTATGGTCAAAGGTTTCGATTTGCGTGCAGACCTGTTGTAATCTTAATATTAAATAACTATTTATGTCAATAATATTAAAAGAGTATTAATATTAAATTATATTATGAATAGTTACAAATTATATGAAAATTGCATTTATATTGGGTATATTCAAAACACTAAATCAATACATTTATCAGTCACGGGATATATCATATATTACAGAGTATAGATTGCTATACAAATAGCTATAACCACTTGTTATGCACACAAAGCTGTATAAATTATGGTAATAAATATTTAGATACAGTGCAACTTCTCCATAAGGAACGGCCAGATGCACGGCAAAAGTGTTCCCTATAGGGAGGGTTCCTCCAAGGGAGGTTCTGTTATAGGTATAGAAACATCAAAATATATTTCAAATCCGTTCCTCCAAAGGAGGTGTTCCCCCAAGAAAAGTTCCCCCAAGAGAGGTTGCACTGTATATGTTTCCAAGTCGTAACCCTAATCAGCCAAATCACTGCTGCGTTGACCCCCTCTCTAAACTAACTAAATGAAGTACAGTATATTCCGGTTGCAATAAACATGCTTATGTTGTATTTGTTGATTTGTGACTTTGGTATTTGTGTAATTGATTATCATTTGTTTACAGCGAATCCCAATTTAATTTTATATTGAATTATGGGCTGAATTATAATTATAAACAAAAAAACACGAAAGACTTGTGCGTCGATTAGTTGACACATAAACTGATGCTGTGATGTGTTGTTATGCTGTGTTGTAATGAATTTGAGCAAAAATATGGTATAAACGAGAGTAGAGTATGTGTTATAGGAATTGAATACTGTATGAGTGATACTATACTGTATTGTGGACTATATTGTATGAAATATTATATGAAATATTGTATATTCCGTATGAATATTCTGTTATGTATTGTATTTTGTAATATAAGTATTCTATTGGTGCGGATGAAAGCCGTGTATGAGATGTTGTGATCCATTGCTGTATATCATAGTGTAGTTATAGTGTCGGTGCCGATGCAGGTGTGATGCAGTGATGTTTGACTTATGCGTTCATCTATTGATGAAAGTAAAAAGAGCGCAAACAGTGAATGCATTTAATATATGGTATAATTCTAGAGAAACTTCATTTCGAGATTAGAGATCCAGATCTCCCTCCGATCCGATAGTGAGCTCTCACTCGCTTTGCATATACTCTCCATTTATATACCATTCACTTATACATTAGTTTTACATCTTTTTATATGGAAAATGATTTTTTAATGCAAACATTATTGTTGGTCTTTCTCTCACTCTATTTCTATATATTAATATAAAATATTGATATTATTTTCAACAAGTGGGAGACATATAGAAAGTGAATATATTGTTAGCGCAATTAATGTGATGACATGAGTGTCAATGTATTGTGTATATGATGAGCACCGATAGCAGTGATCACAGCCAGTGATAGTGTGGTAGTGATAGGAGTGCTTGTTATCGATGAGACAAACAGAGTGCAGATAGAGTGAAGCGCTTGTCGTATGTGTTGACACCTCAATGCCTGACTCCGACCCCGAGTGAGAGCTAAGCACATAAGATGTGGCGAACGGTGTATTGATTTGAACCAAACACTGACTCCACTCCACACATCTTTTTATCTTTTTTCTGATGAAAAGTTTGCGTAAAAAATAACGACTACTCTATAGTTGTGTGTCGTTTATGCGATACACAGACCTTATCACTCGTGTCTATCGTAAGTTATATATCAACCCATAATAACTTGATTACTGGTCCGAAGCGATGGGCAATTCTCAGGGCACTTCCCGGGTATGTGTCTCTCTATATATTTTAATTTCTTTTATCTTTCGCTCTCTTATAGTGAATTCAATTTCATTTCAAAGTCATTAATGTACTAAAATATATTGTACTCTCTTTTATAACGTCAACAACAAGTTTGTATTTTCGTTGCCTTTAATGTAAAATATAATCAACACATATAAAAATATATTTTCTAAATATTTATTTTCATTGTTTTTCATTAAATTAATGGCATTAGTCTTATGAAACACTTGTGGCTTAAAAGCAAACTTATAATCATTATTTATATCTAAAATAATCATTTTTATTACACAATATTAGGCCAAATAGTGTATTAAATATCAATATACAGAATATATGATATCTAAGTGTATATTTGCATTGCGTTCGCCTATAATTAGATAAACCAAAATCCGTCACACATTCGACAACTTCTTGAAGGCATATATCGATCGCAGACTTAATTCAATTGCAAATAATTCTTGTCATAAAAACACATAAAACAACTTATATTTTGTCGCGCATTGGGAGACAATTATATGACTTATTAAATTCGAGAATTCAATTTGCAATTTGCAATTATTATCATTTTTTTCTCTCATAACTGTTTCCCTTAATTGATGTAATTTAGGAAATAAATGCACAAAATTAGTGAATATTTTTGTTCATCTTATTTTCCACTTACATTGTAATCAATCAAACAAATAATTTTTGAGCTTTTATTGAATGAGTACTAGTAGTAGTCATTAATAACATGGTATTTAATGTGATAAATGATATTCTGTGTGAAAACACATTAGGATTCAGGTTACAAAACAAATAACTTTTCAATATATCTCATTTTGTTATGAATGTATCGTAAAATAAAACGTTAATTAACAATCGATTGTTATTTTTACAATTGACATGTACATTTTTTTGTCTTTATTCCTAGTTATCAAGTGATTCGTTGCTATAATTGCTTTTTTGCAACAATATTTTATTTATAGTAAGAATTTGCTTTCTTGTATCAGAATAAATATTTTATTACTTAAAATTACATTCACTTTATTAATAAAGTATTGTACTCCAAGTAAAGTACTCGAAACATGTAATAAATTTCAATTTATCAAACATGAAGTTAATGTATACACAATTGTTTATAACCAACGATAAATTTAAATGTTATTCTGTGTTGTGTTTTGACAAACCATTTATTCTTATCAAACATTTCCCAAATAGGAATCTCATTTGTTTTTAATTTCATTCACAAATCAATTAATAATTTGTTTTCAATTTCTAATGGAGTCAAACCATTTAAACAAAAAACTTGATGAGTCAACCCATAAATGTCAATTGTAGTAAAAACACTTTACAGGTAAAAAATAAAATGTATACATCAAATACTGATTAATTTCTTTAAATTTTATATGTCAATTTTGTTGAGCGTACTATAAAACAATTTTGCTATTTCTATAATAGTTATAAATAGTAGTTATTTTAAGAGAAATATACATTAATAACAATATATGGTATTTGTATATTATATAAATTAGTGAAATAAGTAAATGAATTCAATCAATAAAGAACTGTGGGTTCGCACATCCGTTATACATGTATAATGTATTTCTTTAGATAAAAGTTGAAATCTTTGAAAATAATATTTTTCTAATTGAAAAATTAAATCTTTAATAATTACAATTTTTGTTTAATCTATTTTAATATTTTATTTAAAACATTTTTTTAATTTGGAGCACAAATATATGATTATGGTAAGCAATATGTATGAAAATGTGCTTTTCTGTAATATTGGTATATAATTACAGTATTGCTAAATAGGCACAGCATCTGTTGTTTCATGATCTACATAATTGGTTTAATTTACTTTAAAAACGCTTAAAATTATATTTTATTTCTTTAATTAGAGTTAATTAATATATATTTAGTCTCTTTTACTTAATAATCTATTCGTTAATCTAATGAATATGACTATGGATTATATTTGACCCCATTTATAGTAATTTCATATATGAAGTCATATTTTTGTAATATTAGTTCAAATTATTGTTTATTGAGATTTATATATATTCATTATATCATGTGATGTTTTCATGAATATAAGTTATATTTTGGTCTATTATTATTATATATTAATATATTTGTAGTTATAATTTAATATACTATTGAATAATAGCTTATATAAAATACCAGTTCCACAATAATGACCACATGATCAGTATATTACAGATCACAATAAGGTCTTTCATGTTAGGATTATTTCATGTACTCATACAAGAATACAAACATATTATGGCATAAACGGAAAATAAGCTTATTTTTCTGACAAAACATATTGTTTGTCAATCGATTACATTTAAGATTTGATGAGAAAATTTATTTATTATATAAATGTTGATTTAAAATCACATAACAGTTACTGTATAACGATTTATTTTTATTGAATTTTAATCTACGACACGATATTAACACCGTTGGCGTAAATGTTTAATATAATGCAGTAATATTTAGATAATTACAATACATGTGTAGTAGTCTGTATATACTATCTATTTACAGTATATACAGGTATATTATTTTGTAAACTGCTTTCTGAATAAATCATGAACTATGAAAATAAATATTTTGTATGAATGTAAAGAATATTCTGGTTGGATGTACTTATTATTGTTAAATGCAACATATAATATAATTTGCTAACAATTAAAATATTTATTATTCATAAATGTATAGAAATAGATTAAAATGGAATTTTACTAATATTTCACAATCAAATGAAAGCAAATTAATTTTATCATAAAAAGAGACAAAATTATTATTATTATTGCTTTAAAAAAAACAATATATTTTAATTTCTTGTCATTTTTTCATATTGGGTTCAATTAAATAGTTGTATCCATATATCTATTACTATAAATAAAATCTATTTAAAGCACATTAAAATTTATATCTCAATTTATATTTCAATTTCAGGAATATTCTATAAAAATTTTGAGTTTAGTTATTAATACAGATAACTGTTTGCTTAACGTCTATATAACTTACAGCAGTTTGTGTTGTTTAGGTTTTTATATTTGCACAACAAGTAAATTTACTTTGAAACATCTCGATAGAACAAATACAATAAAATTTATACGAATATTCTAATATGAAAAATTCTTTTTAAATGCACATATGATTTAGTAATTACCAAAGAGTTGTCTTTATATATTTTAACATGTCTTTTGCAGTAAGAGATATCGATTTATTCATATAATAATGATTATTTTGAGACCTGTTTGTTATCGTATAAACCATATAATTACATATTTTGTCTGTTGCCACATATTTGGAGAAAATCGGCAAAATATAATATATGACAATTGTATGATTTTTTCAACAATTTTACAAAAAGCAATTCATGCAAACATGATATTTTTGGCGGTGAATCAAATTATTATTACTTTTTAACACATCGAGCATATTTACCAGGAAAAAACGGGAGGGGTCGAACGATCCTATAAACCACATTCTTTATAAATGAATTGTGGTTAAAAATTTGGTTATTTTTATTTGTAACTAAATGAAAAATATATTTATATATAAAATCTTTGAAAAATATAATAAACTTCAATAAAATTGATATATTTGTCGCAAGGTTAGTTTAATTAATTTGGAAATTTCTTTGAGAAACATGTGGACAAATGTCTCGTTAAAGTCACTCTTCTGCTCATCTCATAAATTCTGTTTCACAAACATTTATTTAGTTGTAGTCCGAGTCCACACGTTTGCCTCTATATTTGTTTAGTTTGAGTTATTTGTTTTATTATAAAACAAATAAAAAAGTAATATATTGTAGTTTTATTGAACAAATGCTTGGAATATATGGAATATACTATACATAAGAGACGAAAGAACGTAAAGTTTTGTCACTTATATTCTCTATATTGCTGGCCATAACGTAATGTAATTGAAATTATGCATCAATCCATCGATCCATCATTTAATTGTTGCAAACAATTAATGAAGAATAAGTAAATGTCAACATTTTATTCAGATTTTATTTAAAAATAATTTTCTTCGCATAAAAGAAATAAAGATTTATAAAGAATATCGATTCAATTGTTTAATTTCTTAACCGTGGGTTAAATTTTATACAATGTGATGTATGCGTGGCTTAAACTACTTGAAAATTTTAGTTTCTTTATTGGAATAACTTTACCAAAATTGATGAGTGGTGTATAAAATATGCCCTAGGTGCTATTTGATTGGGATTATTTTTAAAGGACTATCCAATCGTATTATTACTTATAAAGGAGAATATGTATTACGAGACATGAATAACACTTAAAGACACTAAACACACACTAAAAGACAAAATTGTTATAAACTATGACTTATAGTGGTTTGGATTTGTGTCCAAATGTTACCATAAGCATGATTGGACACAGTTATCATATTTTATTTATTTATAAGTTTTATAACATTATGGTTAAAGAAAATATAAATATTAAATTAAACATGTTCAATAATCATAAATATATTCATACATATTGCGTATATTTATACGAAAATATTTTGTTTTTTATAAAGAGAATTTACGACACAAATGAAAGTGTTTTGGTTTTGTTATTCATATCTCTTATCACTTTTACTAAACTATAACTTAAGTAATGAAATATATGTATACACAAAGAATAACTCTATAGAATAAATATTTATAACTTAAAATCATAGTATAATTAATGATTTTTGTTTTGTTTAATATAGTCTTCCATAGCGATAAACTATAACTTAAGTAATGAAATATATGTATACACAAAGAATAACTCTATAGAATAAATATTTATAACATAAAATCATAGTATAATTAATGATTTTTGTTTTGTTTAATATAGTCTTCCATAGCGTCAGTCGACGGCGCGATATTAGCCGAAGCGCATGGAATTGTGACCGATATGTTGACTGACTCTCAATTACCGCCTCATATCACAAGTGGATTAAGAGCTTTGGCCTCATTGTTATCTCCTCCGAGCCTAGCGTCGAGTCCCCGCACAAAACCGGCCGGAATTAGTATAGCATTAGTTGACTTCAATAATTCCGGTTCCGATTCTGAAGAAAATCCATACATTGGAGAAAGAACTTCAAATATACCAAAGGTTTGACACATATTAACCACCATTTCTGTAATAGAGTAGTCACTCATATGTCTAAATAATTTTATTATACTAATTATCTATATTTATAACTTTTTATAATATTATATATTATATTAATTGAGTTATTGGTTGAGAAGACGAGAAAACAAACTAAAATATTTTATTCACATAAAATAAAACCAAACTTTATTTAATGATTTAACTCGTAGAGAGGAAAACGGAACCTTCCTCCAAGTTTTCTCCGCCGTATGTCAACGAGCACTTGGACCACAACCACATCAGCCACTGGTATGCCTACTCTTGAACCCGAGCCCTCCAGAAAGAGGAGCACAAGCTTTAGAAACTTACAAAGTCCTGTCAGTATCAACGCACCCTCTTTGCCCAGGTATTGCAGCTTTTGTGTTGTATTCACATTTAAAATACTATTTGAGTACATTATTATATTATAAATTTACCATGATGCTTGCCTTTAATAATGTTACCAAATAAATGCGTTTAAAGAATAACACTATAAAATGTTGATAAATTATTTAATATTTTTAATATTAAAAAACCGATGAAATTGTGTTCATTAATAGAGTAATAATGATTTGATTCCTAGTCCGGTGGCAATGCCTTTGAAGGGACGGTCGTACTCGACGACAGCCCTTCCGATCGGAACGTTAGCCGCTCTACAACACAGTCGCGAGAGACAAGACAAACACTTTTTATATTCAGTGACTATTAGTGACAACACGTATAACAATAGAAGACAACAATTAGAAGCGGATCGCGAGTCGGAGGCCGACAACGAGAACACTGAAGACGAGGCCAATGACAGCATTCGCCTAAAGAATACAATTCTCAATACACAACAGAAACAGTTTTATCCGCGCCTTAACCTCACCTCAGACTACGACAGCAGTAATGACTCCCCGAGTGGTAGCGATGCGACGCTCGACGACAGCACTAGTATTGACACCAATTCACGATTCATATCATCCAAGAAAAGTGCTGCCAATGAAAAGTCAATCGCCATTAAAGATGACGACAATTACCGAATCAATAAATGCATTCTTTGTGGTAATCAAACAAAAACTAATGTATTGACAGATAAGTCACCAGTGCTACAGCAAAATTGGCCCTTTTGCGAACCCCCGCCTCCCGTCATACCCCAGTTGGACATTCAGGGCAGGTATATAGTGAGTGGTATGCTCTATGATCTAGATGAACTGGCAACTGATCCACTGCTCTGCCGAATACACGAATGGGATTATCCCATCTTTGATTTGATGTCAAAAACAGGTGACGCTATACTCAGCAAAATGACATATCATGTCTTCTTAGAGGCCGGCCTTTTGGAAGCCTTCAAAATACCGATTCCCGAGTTTCTCAACTATTTTAGAGCTTTGGAAAAGGGATACCGGAATAAGCCGTGTATGTATCCATCCTTTCCATCTCATTAACATATTGCATGAATTTCAATATAATAACCACAACAACACATACAGTATATTTTATTTTATTTATCTATTTTACTGGAATTAAAATAATTGACTAGCATTTGAAATTAAATGATCATCAGATCTATTGAATATTTTATATCAACAGATGTAATTGAAATATGCATTTCCCTAAAACTAACATTTTAAACAGTTTTAGCCCTAACTATAATATATGATAAGAATTGGGAAACAATGACTGAAATTATATTTTGCTTTTATAAAATACAATTCTTGCTATACACGTAATATTGTTGCTATACATGTACTCTGTATTCTGTATACACTGCTCTACAGTATGAGTTGAAGTGACCGAAATAGACTCCCGGCGCTCATTCGTAACCTATTCATTGAGTGATGCATTAAGCGATTAAATATTTTAACACATATGTATGTAATTAGTAAATGTTTGTCCACTTATGCAAAGATTAATTATGTATCATATTTTATACACTAAAACTGTAATTAATAGTAGTGTTTATCTATTATTCAATATTAATATGAAAGTACTATTTTGTAGGTAATAATGAAATTATTTTGCGGTATTTAATAATTATAACATTTTATGTCAAGAAATATCTTTTAGTGACATTTATTGTTTTAATTGAGTTTTATATAAAGTGGTCAATTGGCAGGTCTTTGAAGTAGAGATTCCTGGAAATAACCGGAATATCCATTAAAACAAGATTAATGTTGGAATAGATGAGAGTATTGTAGTTATTAACAAAATATTTTGCTCTATATTTGTATACAAATTTACTTCCTCTCAACTTCTTTTACAAATTCCATAAATAAGTTGAAAAATAAATAAAATTACTATTGTTTAGCCAATAAATTATAGTTATTGTGTTGAATTAAACATGATGCCTAGTGTAATTCTAGAAACAATAATATTATGTTTACTAAACTAATTAAGATTAATTGGAATTATTATCAAATTATGAAAATTATGATATTATTGAATTTGAAATAATATTTGTTAATAAGAAATATATTTGAGCTATCACCATTTGTTCACAACAAGAGGCCCAAGCAATTACTTAATTAACAGAATTGACAAAACAATTACTCACATACAGTATATTCACAAATATGTTATATTAATAGAAATCTTATAA